TCTCCGAGGCACGGGGGTGAAACACCGACAACTCCCCAACTCTGGGCTGTTACTGAGGCTTACTAAACAGAAAGACTCAATAACTAAACTTGAACGAATCCGTGACTCGAACCTAGGACCTCAGGATGTGCAGCCGTACATGCTAGCCACTACACCACCGAGGCATTACCTGTAGAAACAAATTGAATGAATATCAAAGTTGAATACGATTGAACTTTTTAATTATGTATATATTTTTAATTTGTTAATGTTATGTTTTTACCCTATAAATATATTTTACCTGTTGATTAAAAAAATCTGTCCTAAATATATTTTTTAAACAATATTTTTTAACTTGCTGACAAATAATTACGTTTGATTTCTAAGGAAAAACTAATTGATTTCCAAACGATGCTTGTTGCGCATGTGACGTCGCGTCTAGTGAATTAATTTGCTTATTTATGTAATCAAGAGATAAAATGGATACGTGTCTAATTACTGAGCCCTACACTTTGTAAAACTTTCCATTTTAATTAGAAACTTTATTTACACCGAAAGAATACACCGCGTCAGACTATATGGTAGATAAACAATACAGATAAGTATTTTATAGTTTATTAAAGTAGTAACTGTATAGTGGTAAAGTAGTTTGAAACAGGTAGTAAGTAACTTAGACTGTAGTGAAATTTAGACCCACAGCTAATTTTAGTGACCTCCTGCTGTGAATGACTTCGATGTCAGTTTTAAATTATACATCATACTTTCTTTGATCAGTAGGGAATACGCGTGATTTTTTTTATTATATAATAGCTAACATCGTTATATAATTGATAAAAGAATATCCAGCCCTAAAAAACTAAAATTTAGTAAAAAAAATAATTTAAACTATCATACCGATATGAATACATTAAACAACCGCCCGCGCCGTTGAATTTTTGTAAGATACATTTAATTTGTCATTTTCAAATAGCATTATGCGGGTGACATTTTATTCAAACGTTTCAATCAATATGTTTAACTAGTAGAACCTGCGGCTTTGCTCGAGCTTAAACTACAAAAAAATCTCTAAAAAGGTAGGTTTTATATAAGCTTTCATCCCCTATTTTACCCCCATATAGGATGATTTTTTGAAAAAATGCTAAAACACGCATTTATTTATTTGTATTGAAAAGCATTAATGCCAAGTTTCAAGTAATTCTGATCAGAAATACATTTTTGGATTGTATTATAACGTGTTTTACCGTGGGAATAAGATGATCTCCCGCGATAAAAAGTAGCCTATGTCACTCTCCAGCTCTAAAATCAAATCCAATCTGCCGCTCCGTTTCGACGTGAAACACAAGCAAACGAACACACTTTCACAATCATAATAATAAGTATGAATTATTTTAAGAATGCCTTGCTGGTAAAAAGTATGAAAAACATACCGCTTCTAAATGTTTATTTTTGGCATTTCCATTAATTTTCTATGAATTAAAAGAATATTTCTATTATTTCTCATAATTGCTTGATATTTATATGAAAGCATAATATTAATTGTTCACGTGCTAGGTAAAAATTATTCACTGCAGCTATTATCAATCTATGTCAATAAAAAAACATCTGTAAATCTATAAGTACAGATAAATAAAATTGAAGCGTCTGTTTGTAATATCAAAATAACAAGTTTTTACTAAATAGATAAGAAATTATATACCTAAACTCATAGGAAAAAAACAATTTTTAAATTTTTCGTCTGTCTGTCTGTGTTCCAGCTCCAAAACAGCTAGATCGATTTTGACGGGACTTTCTCTAGCAGATATATTAAAACCCATGAAATTGTAAACAAAATCCGCGTACCTAGGGACGCATCCGAGTGAAGCGCGAAGTTTATAAATCACTTAAAATCGGAAGCAAGTGTTTAAATTTCAATTAATACTGATTGATATAATATATACTTATGTAGATAGATCTGTCAAATTGAAGATTCAATGTCGCGTACCTAAGAATTAAAAGACACTGACAAAGACATAGGATTACAAAAACAGATAAGTTCCAATATCGTAATAAACATATGATTAGAACACTAATATTTATTAATATCTTAAGTGAACATAAAATAGGTAAGAAATCAAAAACTCACTTTTATGAAAAAAAAAATCGATTTGTCGATTCGGTTTCACATTACTTGAATTGTAAAATTACAAGTATCAACCACATAATCCTATTTCATACAAACTAGCCCACACAATTAAGTGGAGTTTAATCTATACAATATTATAAAGAGAAAAGATTTATTTTTCTGTTTGTTTGTTTGTATCGAATAGGCTCCGAAACTACTGAACCGATTTAGATGTGCTAAGAACATAGTTTGAGACCATGGGAAGGACATAGAATAGTTTTTATCCCCGAAATCCCTTAAGGGGGTGAAAATGGGGTTGAAAGTTTGTATGGGGAAGCAACCGAGGGACGAACCCGAGCAAAGCAAGGTTGAATCGCTAGTTTGCGACAAATACGAGAATCGCAAGTTTTCTCCATTATTTATTGCACATTAAGTTAAGTTAAGTTTTTTAATGACTTGGCATTTTGTCGAAATGTAAAATCATAGTTTCGTTTATGACACATTCATAATAAGTCGTCTGTCTCTATGTAATTATGTGTGTAGGCATTAATGTTACAAAACATCTCAATCTAAAACTAATCATTTTTTTATTATAGATTTTAAATCTAAATGACATACACACATACACGCCTAATAGAAAGTCCTTTATTAAATACTAGCGACTCACCCTCACTTCGCTCGGGTTCGTCCCTAACTTGATTCTCCATACAAACTTTCATCCCCATCCCATTCCATCCTATGTCCTTCCTAGGGTCTCAAACTATCTTCTTACCAAATTTCATCTAAATTAGCCCCTACAACGTCACAAACTCACAAACTTTACCTCTTTATAATATTAGTATAGATAAATGCAATAGATTATCAACAATTATTTTAGTAAATTAATATTAGATTGTTACTTTTGAGTCTTGTTACTGTCATGCGAATTTCTATATTAGGAATTAAAATAAATCTCTGTTCATTTTAATTTATAAAAACTTAGTTTTTATTGTATTCAAAAACTCTAAATATAATCTAGGTCGAAACTTAAGTAACAAGCCAAGAGATAGCCAGCTCTGTGACCTCCATTAATAGTATGTAGATACATATATCGTATTTAACATGAACAAGTAAATGTACCTACCTAAGATTACGTATTGAAGAACCAACGGCATATTTGATATTTTGTAATAGAAAAATAATTATAACAAGCGCAAGGTTAAGAAATCTCTTAACAAATATATATTCATAAAGAAATTTTTATGTATATTTCGGTGTACCTGCATTTCATCAAGCATCGTTACATATTTCATTTGCTTGCGCTAATAGCAGCATTTATTTGAATTCTTAAATAATTTCTTGAAATTGCTTGTACGTGTTATAAAATTTATATAATTTTACAAAAATCTATCGGTCACAGCATATTAATAAATGTTTTAAATTACCAAATAGCATCCGGTTCGTTAAAATCGCGTTAGATATCGCCTATATTTACGAGATAATTAAAATAACTTAATTTATTCTCTGGCAGGATAATTTCTGTGTTCTACTTTTCATTAAGCAACTGTCTTGCATAAGATCAACTTAGTACAATTTGTGTGGATGTCGAGACCCGATCGCAAAATTGGCCAGATAACGATATGCTCAATATGTTCATGAAATGCTCTCCATAAACATACAAAGTACAGAATCTATTGGCCATATAATGATAAGTCGACCCGATCGTTAAAATATAATCCTTAGAACCTCATGCCGAAATGGAGGATAATTTCTAAATAAGAACTATCATATTTTTGAACAGCTCTATTGTATCTACCTATTATCCATTATTGTCATCATAATAAGCGCTAGTTACAAATTACGAAATAACTGGTCCCAAATAGTAGTTTATTTACACAATTGTTTAAATATAAAATAAGGGTGACAATAAGTGTAAAATTCACCGAGTGCTGACGAACAAAGAATGGCTTGGATTGCGCGGTTTCAATCGGACTTCGGAGTGATGGCGATACAATACGGAGACCCTGAGCCACATTCGGCTCGTTAACGCACGACTAGTACCGCCGTCGCGTTCCTCTTTACTGCAAGCTATTTTAAATAGTCACATACTCCTCTATAACACTTTAACTATTAATTTCACATTACCGTAATATAGAAATACAATAATGATAGCTACATTTAAAAATACTTCTTTCTCATTTTTTTACACGGTTATCTAAAATGCAATAACTATAACGAAATCCATAACCGTCGTGTAATCACATTTTAAAATTATTTGTAATAATGTTTCGTTTCAAGACTTTATTACTCTTGACTTCCTTATATAACAAACAATACAGGTTAAAGGCTACTTATAACATACTAACGTTACATATCTAGGTACAATTATACTTTATATTGTGTAACTTTTAAATGCACCTGTAGTAAGGTGGCGGGTAAACTTCGGCCGCGAGGAAAAACATAGTTTACTGAAATGCATTCGAACAATCAGTAAGGACAAGTTATTGCAAACGGCCGATTAAATATTTCAAGTCACTTCACTTTACGAGCAGTACCCGTAATTTTAAATCAGATTTGCGTAACAGCAAGTGAGCTAAACCTTAAAGATACCTGTTAGTTGCGCCTGCAACGAGAACAAGTGACAGCATTATCGTTAAAGAATTATTAACATGGTTTTATACATACCTTTAGCTGAGTATATTCTAATAATTTATTATTCCATTTAACAATCACAATTATTTCTATTCGTAAAGATTAGATAGAATAGTAAAGGTTATTATTATTCGATAACTAACCGATTTTACTATTTCAAGTGTATTATATAAAAAAGCTTAGCATTATTTCCTAATGTGTATATTATAAGAAGTTTATTTTTGTTCATTCTTTATATTTTATTTAATGATATTGACTCAAAATTTATTTTATTTTATTTTTGTTGCAGGGAACAATACCTTTTTAATGTATTCGAAGTCATCGTCAGTACTCTTGAAACAAAATTACAAAGAATTGAAAATCTCGACAAAGCGGTTGAGCACCTCATGAGAAGAGTTGAAGCTCTAGACTCAAGAGTCAATGATAACATACATAAAACAGATGCTATTATTTCTAAATTAGGAAACTTAGATTTTAAATTATTCAGCCAGATAGCTCAAGGTGATGAAGAAGATGTTACTGAAAATATAAAGAGAAAGGGTGAAAATAGACTAAGTAATGCGCAAATGCTAGACAAAAAACTGGAATCTTTAGATCAAAAAGTATCAGATATTGATTCAAAATTAGTAGGTTTGAAAACACAGATAGATAATAATTTTTTGCCAGTTGATGATATAAACGCAGAAGCAAGTGAAAAGAAACCTATAAATTTAAATGTTATAGAAATTGCAAAAGGTCTTAACTCTGAAGTAGTAAGTGAAATCACTAAAGAGGTTGACCAGTTAAGATCTTCGATGTCAACAGTAGACCGTAAGCTGCAATTTCATATAAACCTTGTGTCTGAAAACTTAGGAAAGGTATTATACATGATGGCAGACGTTCATGCTGCAATAGTAGAACCCGAATCAGCCTCTATAAATGTTAATAATCTGTTCAAAAATCGCACAACTACTAGCACCCCATCTCCATTATCAAAAGCTAGTAAAATCGACACACTTGTAAATAAAATAATTCCAATGATGAGTGTTTCTGAAAAAATGGACGAAGTTTGGGATGTGGTTGTCGGCACAAAAAGTTCAGTAGACGATTTAGTGCCAAAATCTGACGAACTCCTTACCCAAACTCAGAGACAGGAACGAGCTATCGGTCAAATTCATAACGATTTACGCCTGAAAACAAATCTCATAATTGAAAATCTTGATATGGTAGAAAAACGGTTAAAAAAGCAAGAAGATGATGTCGCGACTTTAGCACAGCGACCAGTTCCGGCCGAGCTGCTTTTGGATCCAACTATAGACAGATTAGTGGAATACGCACCTAACAGATATAAGGTGGAAGAGCCTTCAACAGATCCTATCACCACAATTGCCTATACCACCCCAGCTACATCGACTGCCAATAACAGGTGAAATCTTTCTATATTTCGAAATTTACATAATATTTTTGCGAATATTTTATATTGCGATTGTTAATTAAATGCGTTCCGCATAGCGAATGTAACAATTTTGCTATTTGTCTGATTATGCAAAATATGTACTTATATAATTTATGATAAATCTTGATTTGCACATAATTTAATAGTAATATCACATACAGCCCGAGCGTCCCGAGCAATTCGAGTACAAGCGCAACGAGTGCCACAGTGACAGTGACGCCCTCAAGCTCGGGCAGTAGCGCGGGTCCCACCAGCCCGCGCCCGACCAGCCGCAAGGGTGGCATCATCTTCCCTAGTGTCAAGAATAAACCTATTATCGGCAATAACACTTTTGCTTCGGAGATTGTCGCCAACTATAAAGATGTTAAAGTGAGTTTCATATAAAAACATTTTTATAGTATCATTTACAAATATTTATGTTATATGCTATGCAATAAGCGATTTACAAATTATTCCAATTATTTTAGCTATGCGAAACTACGAATAAAATTATTTATTCGTAAATGCGAAATACTGTGTCAAAAATACTCGTGCTCCTTGTTTGAACCGTTTTTTTTGATATTTTATATATAGACTCTTTAATTTGAAGATAAATACATTTATGAAGGAAAACTATTATTGATTTAACTAGCGTCTGTATTCTCTTATTTTATATTTAACATACTTTTACCTGTTGGTGTATTGCTAAATAGCAAAATAATATTAGTAAATAGGGTTTTTGACACAAAATTAATACCTTTTAAATAAGAGTAGCAGTAAAATATGGGAATTCTAATGCCAAAATAATAGCGCCCAGTTAATATTTGTATAATTTGCATAAAGTAAATGTACAAATTATTATGTATTCAAATCTATACACATTAGCTGCCTATAGGATTTAACTCTTGATGTAGAGTAAATATTTCAAAGTAAACATTGGGCTACGCCATTTGATATGAAACGGTGTTATTTTGTAGGAATTTTAATCAATGCCGTTTCCAGTTTCTTGAACAGTGACTGTAAAATGTACATAGTTAATCTATTTGCTGCTGTGCAGCGCCATTTATGTCTCCTGGTTTTGCAATAAGGAACTCGACGCAATACTCTGTCCAAAGATATCCATTCACTCGACCACATCCTGCAAAGGTATAATTAAAACTGAAATATAAAGTTAATTTGATACACTTGTCTATTGCTCCAATTCTCTCAGTTACGGCCCTATTGACCAATTAATAATAAATATTAATTGTGAGCGCCACCATTATTTCATTTAAGAAATTTAGTTTATAGAGGCAAACAAAGTAAATCATTGCATTGTATCATTCACTTTCTGTCGGCATTTGTCATTTTTAATTAATAAAAGAAACATCTCTCCATACTTTGCGTCTCTATGACCTCGCAAAGCAGAAGAAAAATCATAAAGTATTTTTCTATTCTAATTCTACAGAACATAACAAGGATTAAAAAAAATAATTAAATACATTTGTATTATTATAGGTACCTTCATTTTCAGGCTGCGTATCCGGACTGAAGTAGTATTTTACGTTTAAAAATTATAGGTACACAAAAATACTTAATTTAATGTAAATTATTAAACTAAATGTTTTTTTAACTAACCTAATTTAAATTAATATGTCTTTATATATATTTCACTGAAATAAATAAGCACTATAGAAACATACATAGAAAGACCACTTAATGACCTTGAAAAAATAATTTTATTTCTATACCAACCTCCAAATATGATGCCACTACTTAAAAGGTTTTAGGTACATTAAAATCATGGACGAATTAGAGACTAATTCGTTCATGATTAAAATATTCTACTTGAATTAATATTCCATGAAAGTTCCTGATACAAATGCTGACTTTGCAATTGTACATCCATACTTAATATTATAAATGTGAAAGTGTGATTGTTTGTTTATTTGTCCTTCTTTCATGTCAAAACGGAGTTACGGATTCGCGTGATTTTTTGTGGAGATAGTTGGAGGACTGAGTGACATAGGCTATTTTTTACCGCGGGAGATGATCTCCTTGCCACGGGAAAACACGTTATAATACAACCCAAAAAAATATTTATGATCAGAATTACTTGAAACTTGGTATTAATGCTCTTGAATACAATTAAATAAATTCGTGTTTTAGCATTCATCGAAATTCATCCCGTAAGGGGGTAAAATAGGGGATGAAAGTTTGTATGAAATCTACCTTTTTAAAGATTTTTTATAGTTTTTGCGCGAACGAAGCCGCGGATTCTGCTAGTAATTATATAATATACAATAGGAATTACAAAGCATTGAACACTGATGTCACAATAACTGGTTTCTACAAAGAACAATTTGTTCCTATAATATATTTTTTTTTAAATTATTAGGTAGATACTATCTATAGTCTATACTTACCTACATAAAAATTACCACCAACCGTAATGAGTGGGGCAGTGGGTACGTGAATTTGACTTCCTTGAAGCAAAAGGAGTAAAGTATTGGTATAGTTTTAGGTAATTCAATTACGATATGTAATAATAAGATATAATAAGATTACTTTATAGTTTTTAAGTTAATATAAGTAATATATAAGTAAAGCCGAATAATTTTCTAATCCAATATAATATATATTACTTTGTAAACCAACAAAGTATTATTTCACTATAATGTATAATACCAGAGGCGTCTGGCAACTCTGCCGGATCCACTTCAATACAGGTATTGAAAATAGAGCTTCAAATAGTGTGCCAAGAGCTCAGCGCAAGGAAAGTTGATATCGTTACGTAAATCTGGTTCGTACTCGATACACCCATTTATAACATAGTGCTTTTCGCGACTTTGTCAGAGTAAAAACAAGTCGTTCCCACCGAGTGACTATTACCAATGATTACAGCATTATTATTGTTTTAGCTCACGAGAAACATTCGAATATGTAGTATTACTACTATTATAAATATAATATTATATACCGTTTTTACGCAATGTGAAGCATTTAATTAGTACTAAGTAATAAATTATAACTCGAACTTAATTTCAAGAACAATTGATCAATTTTTGAACTTAAAATAATTAAGTTTTCTGATATCAAAATAAATTATCTGATATTAATAAGTATATAAATATAGAGTAAAACTTGCTTTATAAAATCACAATTTATAGAAATAAAATTAAAAAAATTGAGTAACCCCTAGCAAAAAATAACTCTAAAAAGAATAAAATTTCACTCTTCCTTTTAACTTCATTATAAGTACCTTAATATTTTGATGATGAGTGTCGCGCGCCGCGTCGAGGGACCGCTAATACTTAATCATTATCTTTATCTTTCTTTTTATTTGTATTTTGGTTTTTTTATTTTATTTACCTAATGGTTATTTTTTTTCTTATTAGAGTGTTAAAAACACTGTATCGGGGGTTGTTTAAAATCTTTATTTTTATTTCATTCCATTTAAATTACCCGCGGACACTATTTCTAATAGATAACTCTCATTGAGACTATTCTTATGTGCCCAAACAAGCTTTTTCTATAATTATAATTGAGCATCCCGCAGACTATTTGATGCTACGGCATCAGTTCAAAGTTACCAGTAAGTAACAGTACACCAAATTTCAAACCAATCGAATCTGTGAAAGTTAGTAAAAGATTTCAAGTAGGAAATGAGCTGATGATCATAAAATGCCTGAAGAGATCTTCTTAAATTAGCTAAGAATAATCTTGATCACGTTAGCTTTCTAACAAAAAAACCGCATCAAAATCGGTCCATTCGTTTAGGAGCTATGATGCCACATACCTACAGACACACAGATACACAGACGGACACGTCAAACTTATAACACCTCTCTTTTTGCGTCGAGGGCTAAAATAATAAAGACCTGACCAAAATTCGATCACGGTGATTTACTTCACTGATTTTAGGCAACAGTACGTAAAATATTGTATTGCAATATAATCTTTTCATTCAGAAAGCCCGATGGGACGACAATTTAACAAGTACTGTAAGCGATCAGGCACAGGACTACCGGCGTTACGAGCTGTCCGAGGTGTAGTAACGTAATATCCCCAACTTCCAACTTCAAACTTCTAATGATATTTTTCTTATCATAAAATCCCTAACAACTGTACTTTGCCCGATCCGCAACCTTGACCTCAAGGTTAGGCCTTCAGATTATAATATTATGCCGCGGTTTTCTTGCTCTTCATTTTTGCACTCCACCACGATACGCTTGGGATACCGCCGAACCTATTCCCGAGCGTTAAAGCGGGCTACCATCCTGTTGACTACGTATCCTTAACTTTAACCTTAAGGGCATTCTTTTAATAAAACTGTATTCTTTCTCGTCCACAAAAACCAGCGAGTTTCTCCCAATGACCACTCTGTAGAAACGTACTATATATACTATATATATAGATCGCCCGGAGTTATCAGATGAATACTATACCATAGGTACTTTATGTACCATTTTAAATAATATGATTGTGTTATCTGTCACCTCAATAAAATATATAAAAGAAAATACAACGAAATTACTAATATATCTACTCAATTATATATAAAAAACAACTGTACACTTAACTAGTTAATGTGTATAGTGTTTATAATTAAGTTTATACCAACAATAGTATTGAACCTATACTATTATAACCCTTAAGCTCTACTGCTCTTTATAGAAACTCTACCGCATCATTAAAATTGGTTATTATGCCTATATAGCAACAGTTTAAAGTACGACAATAAATTCCAAATATATATTTATACTTCCGTTATATGTTTATAAATATGTATGTTAACTTTAAATATCATTAAGTCTCAACAGGCATTGCGATGTATACTTATTATAATTTAATTTTATGTAAAACAAGCTAATTTCGGCTTGCATAATGAATTAGTCAATACCGATGTGAATGAATACGGATTCATCTACTAAGGAAAATCTTGTACTTAATAGTAGTGAAAACTTGTCTTCAATACAGTAATATGATTTACAGGGCTACTCATGTGTGGATTTGCTGAATGCTGGCATGAGAGAATCCGGCGTGTATTACTTGCAAATACGAGGCACCACCTACTGGTTCCTTAAGGTGTATTGTGAACAAAACGTGGCTGATGGAGGATGGACGGTATGTTTATCCTAAACTGTACTTAATATCGTTTCCAACTTTTAATTGCTTGTCAAGGAACTTTATGAATATTCATTCATATAGCAATTCTAAATATTATGTTAAGTTTTTTCGTAAAAAAAACCTTAAAAAAAGTGACAAAAAAACACAGATAATTAAAAAATAACTAATATCCATTTCAGAGAAAATAAACAAAAATCGTTCTAAATCAAATTTTTTTTAAATGTAAACGTCCACTTGAAGTTGGGGGTGATTTTCAGCCTCTCGAGACCATAAAACATACTTTTTATTTATTACATGTATATCGAAGATTACATTCCCTTAGTTTTATGAAAATAAAAAGATTATTCTAGAAATTAAAAAAAAAAACCAAGAAAAATTTAAAAACCCAGTTTTCTGCAAATATCTCGAAAACTTTGAGGTTATTGTCAAAAGCGTAATTTAGAAAAGTTGTAAATTTTTTTACTAGACCTACAACTTTTGTCGAAAACATTTTTCGATAGAACGTCACAGTAAGCCGAAAATTGAAAAAAACTATTTTTCAATGCTTTGCGGCCCCCCATTTCTGGGGGGTAGCTGGGCATATGGGGCATTTTACGAATTTGTATTCCATATATACCTGCTAACATTTTAAAACCATAATAGGCTCCAGGATCCAGGATCCAGGCTTTCAATATTTTGTTCACAAACCGGATTCCAATTGGACTAAAGTCAATATGACCATTAGAAGTAGGTAAAATTTTCATTAGCAATTTTTTCACCCCTGAGGGTGATTTATTTGAAAAAAAACCACATTGGGATGGTATTTTTTTTTCAAATTTAAATGGGACTAAATTGAAAGTATACATTTTACAACAAAACAAAAATTGTCCAACCCGGTTAATAAATGACGGAGTAGTTCTGAGGTAACATGCATAATAAAAAAAACAGCCGAATTGAGAACCTCCTCCTTTTTGAAGTCGGTGGATAAATATATTCACATATAATTTGTTATAAATAAATTAAAAATTTACCTATTAAAAATAAAAATAGAAACAAGGTTACTAAAATGAGAATTCCTTAAATAAAAAACTGTTCAATGATTTCGTAGATTGATTCTAGTTATAGCTTGTATTATTATAAGCATCTTATAGTACTTATAAACAAGGATATTAGGAAAAACATTGAGATAATGAGAAACATTCTTAAATATTGAGAGAACATTGTATATTTATTTATTGAAAATATGGCAGGTGATTCATCGTCGTGATGACTTCGGAATACCTGCGGAAAACTTTAACAGGGACTGGAGTGACTACAAGAATGGATTTGGTGATCCTAGTAAAGAGTTCTGGCTGGGCAATGAGAACATTTACATGCTAACCAATAATGATGACTATATGCTTAGGGTCGAGCTAGAAGACTTTGATGGTAATAAAAGGTAATTAAATTTCTTCAACTCACCATTACATAAACAATAAACATGTTTAAAATCTGATTAACATTTTTCTTGTACCCTTGAAGTCTTCACATCATACTAATCGTTTCCGCATAAATAACTTTAAAATCGTTTTAAAACGAAATATTCAAACTTTGGAGTTAGGTGGGCTTATACAGGACTGCGCGTGAGAAGTTCCATGTAAAATTATAAGTTATTCATTAAAAAAGAAAATCATGCAAATGGATTCGAAACCGGCGTAGAAAAAGGTATCGCGTAACATGCTTTCACACAAAAAAATCACATAATTTGTATGATCTGCTCTGCCTATGACATAATATTTAATTATGTCGTGTGACTACGGCTTTTAAATACCGATGTCATGTTTCATTTATAATACTTTCATGTAACATAATTAAAGTATTGTTATAGCTTGATGGGTGTTTTTGGCGCAGACAGGTTTTATATTAATATGGTTAAAGTAAAAACACTGATGGCGTATTTACTACTTGTTTTTTAACCCCCGACGCATATAGAGGAGTGTTATAAATTTAACGTGTGTACCTATGTGTCCGTCTGTGGCATCGTAGCGTCAAGAACGGATGAACCGATTTTAATTTTTTTGTGTGAAACATGACTTCATCAAGAGTATTCTTACTATAAATCAAGAAAATCCGTTTATTCGTTGTAGGCTATCACCTCTTTTCTAGACGGTAAAAGAATGAGCAACTTACACAAGTCTAATCCATACAAAACTTGTTATTCCAATACTTTCAGTGGTGGATTTAGACTAGGGGCACTCGGGGCTAGTGCCCAGGGCGACAAATTTTTAATTAAAATGAATAGTTAAAAAATTAACTAGTATATTTTTCGAAATTGAAACCATTTATAAATATTTCTTTTCCATTTTTCAAAAAATTAATAATTAAAAAAAATGAAACTTTATCGAAACTTTATTCATTTCATGCAAAATTTCGACAATAGGGCGGCATTTTTTACTATGCCCAGGGGTGGCGCTAAGGTTGAATCCAACTTAACCTTGCCCTAATGCTGCATCGTCACCTGCAATCTATCAAGTCAAGATAATATTCAAGTATCTTGCAAATTCCAACTGGTACTGCAGTATCTCTCGTTAGTAAAATACTGCAGAAATATCGTTTAGGCTCATAGAAATGGCCTCAATGAATAGGTTATCGTGTTGGTTTTTCTTAAATTTAATTTCTTGTTCTTTATTTAGGTACGCACAGTATTCGCACTTCAAAATATATTCTGAAGGAGAGTATTACAAATTGGAGATAGATGGCTACGAGGGTAACGCGGGTGACTCTCTAAATGATCCGTGGTATGGGTCCAATAACAGTCCCTTCTCAACTTACAATAGGTATGCGATATTTTACCAATTTTTTTATTTCATAAAATATTTACTTACCCAATTAACCAGTACGCACGGTAATATTCATAAATCGTCATAAAACCATTAAATATTGTTTTGATTAGCGTAAAATTATATTAGTATGTTATTTTTTATTATTTTAATCCCCTTTTAATACGCACATACATAATATATGACAAACTTTTTAGTTTGATTTTAATCTTCATACATCATCTCAAACTTAGCTCAATACCGTTAAAAGTGAAATAAATGTACTTCTTCTACTTACGTTATTATTATTCCCTGGAGACCTTTCCTCACCCACTGTTTAAATCGAAGAACTTTCGTAATACTCCTAGGGCCTTAAACTAGTTTATTAAGCATTGCCTCATACCATATTACGTTACACTTCTCTTTACTCAGTATAATTTAATATTTATACCTGGATCTTTGGAATTGAATATCAATATCAATCAATTCTTTTGTTAATGGCTTTAAAATATGCCAGTTAAGTAGATTACTTCACCAGAGATGAAGGAGATTGGTCGGCATATTATTATTAATAGGTTTGTTTACAATTAATATCAATATAAATGACTTGTTTACAGAGACAATGACAGGTCATCGTTGAATTGCGCGTCCATGTTAAAAGGTGGTTGGTGGTGGAAGTCATGCGGACGCGGCTTGAACGGTCTCTATTTGCACGATCCTCAGGACCTCACAGCTCGACAAGGTATATTTTGTAGCCTACACTAATAAGACCCTTGTAAATACATAATTAAATCACACTTATATTATTACATATATAGAGATAAGTTCTTTATTGTACACACATAAGAAGAGAACAGAAGATAAATCACAACAATAAGATAACAGTCATAGCGGCGGCCTTAGCCATTGCGAGGCCCCGGGCAGTGAATCTTTGCGAGGCCCTTGTCCTTTATGGATTTTATGTGATTTGAAAATATTTTTAATGATGATGCATGACGAGAAATGTAAAAGTTATATATAAATAAATTTAAAGTTTTAAAATTGTATATTGGAAATTTAGAAAAGTTAACAAGCACAAAGAAGACAAAATTATTTTGTCAACATTTTTAGTCTTTGCGTGACTTGCCATTAAATCTATTAGCTCATTTTGAATAATTTTACAGAGATAGTGGACATTATTTGTATCTTTTTACTAGGTAGGCTAGTGCTCAGGGCGACAAATTTTTAGGGGCGGCAAAATTCGAAGGGTGGGGAAAAAAAGTCTTCACATTATCGAAAATGCTTTTTTTATTTCCCAAAAACTGAATAGTTAAAAAAAATTAACTAGTAGATATGTATCTACTAGTAATTTTTTTTTAACTATTATCTATTATATCTTATTATAATATTTTTTAACTATTTTCGAATAATTGATATCACTCATAAATAATTTTTTTCCAATTAATAGTTTCTTAGATTTACGCGAATCTTGACATTTTAAATAAAACTATCTTTTCGGATTTTTTCGCGAATTTATTTTGATTTTTAGTTCCCGACGTTTCGAATGCTTTACAGCATCCATGGTCACGGGAGAGACTGAGATGTTACATGTCTTGAAGGTATAGTTGTTACAGACAGCGTACCCACAATTAACAAAATCCAATTTCCAATTTTTATAAAAATAAAAAAAAAATTCGAAACTATTCATTTTATGCAAAATTGCGATAATAGGGCGGCATTTTTATAGTGCCCAGGGGCGGGACTAAGGTTGAATCCGGCAATGCTCTTTAGAATTCACGAGCTAGAAGGAGCTCGGTTGTTTGGAAAGCTTGTGTAGGGACAGGTCCAACATGTAGAGACCCCTTAAGAGATTTAAATGTTTAATAAGACGCATCAGCCGGAATCCACCTCTGAGTAACCCGTAAGGAATTGCTTAAATATGTAGCACCGGCATCCCAGACAATGTTGAAAAAATTATTCCAGCTCGGTTATGCTTAGAATGCAATAACATGTCACTTTTAGTCACTGAAAGGTCTTAAGGACTTAGAAGCTTCTTGACCATCACCTTTAATATATTTATATAGAGACCAATACAGATTTTCTTCTACCTGCTTTCTTTTGATGTCTTGTTGCCTTTTTGAACTACCAAACTCAGTTTTTCTACTGGCATCACAATCGCGCGAACTCATTTTGTAAATCTTTTTTACACATAAAATTAATAAAAATATCAAGCAGCTATACGCAGTTTTTTTACTAATTCACTCTTTAATATAATAACGTAAAATTTAATATAATTGGCTTATTGAAAGATATGTGCTATACAAATGCTACATGCTTGTACTGGCGCGATGTGGGTTTTGTAATGGCGTTGTTCTGCGAAGGCGCGAGGCCACTACAAGAGCGAGGCCCCGGGCCTATTGTTCTGCTTGCCACCCCCTAAGGCCACCACTTTACAGAAGGCATGTAAAGAACTTATTGTACGAGTGAGTGTGTCTGTGTTTGTGTCTTTTACACTTTGTAATGGATTTGAGTAAATTTCAGAAAGTAGTGATAGATTTTGTCCTGGTTTACACATTGGCAGGAAACTTATATTACTGTCAAGTGAACGGAGATTCGGGCAATAACTAACGTAATTCATTTAAATTAGAACTTAAAGTAAATTATTAGTATTTAAAATACCCGTTTTCTTAATCCCTCCACGACCGCGGACACGCCGGCGTGTCAGTTAACAATAGATTTCTTAGAATTTTAATTAATTTCTTAGAAATTTATCTGGAGGTGTTAAATATATATTATAAAGAACTATATAAGCATCATAGTTTACTTTATGATTCCAGGCATCGTGTGGTTCCGCTGGCGAGGCTGGGATTACACTCTGAAGAGGGCGTCCATGATGATCAAACCCAAGGGACTTCAACCCAACACATGAAATAGCAGGCAAACTACTGCGAATTAATTTTATTAGGCCTCTGTTCAATTGTTACGTGGATTTTGGACTTTTGGGTGAGATTTTTTTATAGTAGGTATCAAAAACATAAATTATTGATTCATGTTTCATTTAGGTAATATACACAATTTTGAAATTTTAGTATTAATCATATACTGACTTAATCTTGCTATACTAATTTTTGTACTTCTTATTAATTCATAATATCATGCTTGCTAGCTTTTGCCTTTCCTGATATGACTCTGAAGTCTAAACGTTTAGTGTTTTACATAAACGTTATGAAGCATATTGTTAGTACTGAATCCACGTAATGACCCGAAACACAACAGTCGGCTTATCGCTCAATTCGGTATAAAATCCGTATTGTTATTTTTGTAAATAAATAATTACCTTGAAAATCATTCACGTCATGAGTTCACCGCCATTATTAATAAGTAATTAATAATATATCTTTGTTGTATATGAAAGATTGTATCCATTCATCTCTCCGTCGATGTGCCACACAACTTAAATTCATTAATTTATTATTCATAACCTGAAACATTAAACTTTCGTTAATTAGCTTTATAATTTTAGATATTAGGATAAAATTAAGTTGTAAATAATTATAAACTATAAATTGATACATAAGAATTAAACGAGATAACAGTTGAACTGATTGTACTCGTATTCAAACTTCAGTCCGATGTTACGGAGGCTATATTTATTTTTTTAATTTTCAAGCTTTCCACATGAAATGCTTCTGTAAGCTATTGACAAAATTATATAAAGTAGATTCCAGTGTAAAATTTTATTATGTAACTGATTTCTTTATGTACCTGATGAAATACCTGGCAGCAGGTATTTTATATCATACCCGATTATGTAAATCTATGTATAAAGATAAACAAGTGTAATATATCAAAATACAAATCACTCACATTATCTACAAAAATATTTAATTTAATTGCTTGATTTTCATTTTAAAATATGTAAAGTTATACCTTCTGCCAGATAGTGTCAATTTCCAATGTGAATTATTTTAGTCCCTATGTACTATGTGGCATTGTGGTATGTTTCATATTTTTTAATAGAAATATTCAAAAAAATTCTTAAAGGATATTGAAACTATTTTTGTACACTTGTACCTATTAATGTTTGTAATAATATATATTTGCGTATTATAAATAAGTTGTTTTAATGTAATATGTAACCTATCTAAGCTAAATTATAACCTGTCTTTTTTATTCTCTTGTACATTTATTTATATTAATATATTACAAAAGTATGTCAATCTCTTTATTACTTTATTATTACTCGGAAAAAACAAGAAAAAAAACTCAATTTTGATGAAATTACGAAAAAGAATTGAAATCATTCGAAAATTGACACCCTTTAAGATATTTTATATCGGCAACCTATAAGTAGCACTGCTATCCACCACAATTCTACAACCCTACCTACAACACAATGTATATTATAATAATAATAATAATATGTTTTGATGGCATATTATTCTTGTATAGGTAGGTAGGATTAGACAGCTCGTACGCCAATAAGCGACGCAACTGCCTCTTTAGTTTCGATTTTAATTAAAGTTCACTAATTTTTATAGCAATAAATCGGCGAAAATGTAGGTATCATCCTATTAGTAAAAGAATTTTCAGAATTGGATCAGTAGTTTGAGAGTAACCTCTTAAACTACTGATCCAATTCTGAAAATTCTTATCTTCGTTTATACAAACTTACAAAATTTATCTTTTTATAATATTAGTGTAGATAAAAAAAACAATTAACATATTAATTAAGGAGTAATATTTGTATTGAAATAATTGTTATTTTTTTAAGTTTACCTTTAAAGAAATAACGTTTAATTATCTTTTTGAAACGTTGCTATGTGACAGCTTTCGCGGCATAGGTATAATTAGGTATATCAATCAATAGATATATAAATCATTATGATAAGTAGAGGATTGATCTCATAGAATAGTAAAATATGAAAGATCTGTTATGATCCACTAAAATAATACGGATACGGATGTCTACCGACACAGATAAGGGTATCCGGCACATCACTAGTTTTTATATGTAGGTACTATAAGAACCGCCCAAGACTCAAGACTTATCTATACATAATGCGGTTATCTACATACATATAATAAAATTGTAACTAAGCCGAATCTGTACATTAATGTTTTTTTGGAAAATCTTATTGAAATAAACATTATTATTGATACAGAGGCCGAATCTATAGTTTTTAGAATTTTTGTCTGTTTGTCTGTTACCACATCACAGAAAAATCACTGGAGGGATTTTGATGAAAGTTGGTATGGTGATAGCTGGTTATCAGGGTCAACATATAGGATACTTTTTACCGCGGGAAAATATCTCATTTCTGAGAAAAAATACGAAAACTGTAATGTAAGAGTATACTAACATGTAAAACCTAAGAAATTTTCTTTTGGTCATCTGAACGTGAGCGGATCCGCGGGCAATGCTAGTTAAATCATAAAGTAGGTACATTACGCTAGACACCATTTTAGGTACACCATGATAGCCTACTAATTGTAATGTATAGATAAGTACGTATAATAAAATTCTTCTGAGCCGAATCTATACATTTAATATTTTATGGAAAATCTTACGGAATAGCCATTAATATTGATACAGAGGCCAAATCTATAGTTTTTAAAATTTTCGTCTGCTTGTTTGGCTGTGACGGCATCACAGCTTAGATTATTTATATGTCTAAAATCTAAATAATCTAAGAGCGGTCCCTCATCGGGAGCATTCGCCTGTAATGTAACAATTTAAGATTCGATGTTGAGCATTATGTTGCAGCATTGCCACACTGACTGACGAGCATTCACCTGTAATGTAACAATCTAGATTCGATGTTGAGCATTACGTTACAGTACTGCCTCACTGACTGACGAGCATTCGCTTATAACGTAACAATTTAGATTCGATTTTGAGTATTCGCCTGCAGTCAAGTCAGTTGTTTTAGAAGCGGTCATATTGAGCGCGGTAATATTTATTCGCTCATGTTATTTACATAAAAAAAGCAAAAGAAACGAACACACAATCAAACAAGCATAGATGCGTTACATATTGTGGCCGCCTGGTGTGCATCTTTTTATTGTTACATATTTCACTTCTTTATTTATTTCTTGTGTGGTGTGCAATAAAGTGTTTTATTATTATTATTTATTAATTTATATTCATAAACCTCAGTACTCGGTACCGGAGTATCAACAATCACGGGCCTAAACCAAGTGAGTGCCGATGTATTACGGATTATTATTTAAAAAATTTCTCACTAAACGACATGTATTAAGTATAGCTGCTTTTTGTAGTTGTACGTAAGTAAATGGAGGAAGCCCAAGCAATTTAATAGATTGATGAAGATTCTTGGGTACAACACCTGTCGTGGATATAACAATTGGTACTATTGTAACTGTCTTTATTTTCCACATTCTCATTATTTCATCTTTAAGATCCTGATATTTAGCAAGTTTTTCTGTAAAAGTATTATGTAAGTTATGTGAGTTAGGTATAGCAATATCTATAATCGTGGCTGTGTTGTTTAATTTATCTACCAATGTAATATCTGGTCTATTGTATGGTAAGTTTTATCTGTCAGTATGGCGCGGTCAAAGTATAGCTTATACAATTCGTTTTCAATAACAGATTCTGTTGTATATTTATAATAGGGTAATGGAGGTGAGGAAGTAAGGTTGTATTTAATAACCAACTTTTGGTGAATGATATATGCAACTTGGTCATGCCGATGCTTGTAATCAGTTTGAGCAATAGATTTACAAGCACCGGTTATATGTTGAATGGTTTCTGAGGCACAGTTACATCTTCTGCATATATCGGTATGGTAGTTTTGTTTTTTAATTATATATTTTTGGTAATTTCTAGTTTCTATGACTTGATCCTGAATTGCTATCATAAACCCTTCAGTCTCTGGAAAGAGTTCGCCACGTCTGAGCCAATCGTTCGATGCTAACTTGTCGACGTTATTCTGGTTCAGTTCGTTTTGATGTCTTCCATGTAATGACTTCTGGGTCCATTCTCGGATTTTGCTAAGTTTATCAGTTTGTGTTTCATTATTTTGTGGAGCTTTTTGTATCAAATTAAGTGGGCTTAGCTTTTTATCATTCTGAACTATTGCATTATGAAGGGTAGATGTGTCAGTTTTGGAGTAAAAATACTTTCTGAGAGTTGCTATCTGTTTGTTATGCAAATTTAATATATCGATTAATCCTCTGCCACCATCTAATCGCGGGAGTGTCATTCTTTGTGTACATGATCGTGGGTGATGTTTCCGGTTTTTGGTCATTGTTGTATTTATTACACGCTGAAGATTTTTTAATTCAGTTTTGGTCCAGTTAATTATTCCAAACGAATAGGTTAGGGCAGATTTCTTTGTGATGTATTAGTTTTGATTGAATATATCCTAAATATTTGTATGTTTCATTTTCGATTAATGGCAATATACATTCGCCATTCCCTAGTTGATATTCATATTTTAAGTTCTGTCCTGCCTTAATTGCGTTTATCTTGCATTTATCGATACCAAATTCCATATTAATATCCTGTGAAAATGTGTATGTTAAGTCTGCTAGTGTGTCTAATTCTTCTTTTGATTCCGCATAGAGCTTAATATCATCCATATATAAAAGGTGATTAACTATCTTTAATTCTGATCTATTACAAATTTTTGATGAAGTGGAAAAAGATATTTGTTAGTATCGGTATCTAACATTGTGAGGTGAAAATATGAGCGCATTATAAACTTGTTCATTTCAATAGTCCATTTATTGCGCTTTTTAGGGTAACTGGTGGTGGGTACAGATAAATTGGCCTCAGCCTGCTGCACAACATCCTCCAGAACCATGCTATTTGTGACTGAACTAACGGAAGGTGATGATGGGTATGAATAATTTGATGAAGAGGTTGATGAAAATGGGTCATTGGATGATTGAGATGTT